TGAATTGTTACTCGAGGCTCAGGGATGAGGGATTGTGATTGTTTAGTAAGAGTTTAAGGTTCGGTTTAGCTTTGTTTAGGGCTTGGGTTGTTTAGGGTATGGTTTAGCGTTTTTGGGTGCTGGTTGGTTTAGGTTTAGGGTTTGAAGTTGTGTGGGGTTCAGGGTCTAGTGCTGGGGATTCTTTTGGGTTACCCGGGTTTGGAGTTCTTCATTGTTGGGCTCGGGGTTGAGCGATATCACTATTGCTCAGACCTCTAGCTCATTCCCTCCGATTCCGGACACCAGGCCCTACTTGATCCCGATTCCTCCGTTCCTGTTCCTGACCCGTGCTGGCTCCTTGTGCTGGATCTGCAGGGCTTGTTCCCGATTCGTGCGGCTGACTCGCCTCATACCCGACAAGAGCGGAGATAGGCTGAATAATTTCACCTAATTTTGTGCAATCATGTACGTCCGATCGCTAGCCGGAATGAGATCAAGCCCTTGTTTCATCTTGATAGCCGAATGCGGGTGCAATCACGTGGCGTACCTGTCAGTGGTGATCTGGGAAAACCAGACGTGATGACGCACAGCAACGTCAGCACTATCCAGTATTGCTCCTGGTCATAAGCGGCCCCGCAGTTTTGAAAGCAGCAAACACTGAGCAGGCTCATTGGCTCGTGCTTAAGTTGATGAACCACAAGCTGACACATTGACGCAGATGTGATCGGATGTTGCTTAAGCATTCGCCAAAGTTTGCTTGCAGGCCTCAACCCCGAAGACGTCAGGCCTCGAGCCCTTTGTTTTGTAGTTTATCACAATACCGCTGCAAAGAGTGACAGGTGGTTTCTTTGACTTCGACGATTTGGAAGAGAAGGAAAGTGAGATTGCTAACAGAGCGCTTAATCAGGGCGCTCCGGTGTAGCTAGTTTTAGGTGTGTAGGCTTGGTTTCACCAACAAAACCAGATAGACTCTTAGGCGATGTGAGGGCCTCCAGATGCTCTGGGCTCCTCCTGGGCAAAGTTGAAGCCTGAGCGGCTGAACGAGGGTGCAGCACCAATCCGATCGCGCAGATGTTGGTTACTCTGGCATCAGCTTGGAGAGTAGGACATGGGAACCAACCTGAGCCAAGGTACATACCAGGCCTTCATCTACCTTGAGTAGCTGTTCATAGCATGTCGAGATTACCCAGCTTCTACGCTGTTACGCTGCATCCTGGGTATCTGAGGTGTCGTGAGGTAGTGAGTCTAGTGGCTAAGACTAAGACACCAGAAAGCTTTCCGCAAAAGCGCGGAGAAGATGCTATGGCGAAACAACGTTCACCACGCGCAATACACCTGCAATTAGCCAGCCAACTGGCCAAACATGGCAAGCTATGCCCCGTTCTCAGACACTCAATCCCTTTTTTTCCAGAGCTCGCCGTGCTTGCAGTTCCTTTTGAGGGCTCCAATCCCACACCAAGTAGCAGCAGTGGACGGTATGCAACAGCCGGAGCCTGAGCTTCGAGTTTGAAGCTTCACTTGCTATTCTTTTGCCTCTCAATTTCATGTTCCTTGGACAGGTTGCAGATGCTGCAGCGCAGCAAAACACTGCCTGGTGCTTGGTGCCATTGAGATCAATCGAGTGCTTTGCAAGGAAGGGCTGGTTGGTGCCTTCAGGAGGCGGTCCTGGAGATGCTGGCGCAGGGCTATAGAGTCGATGGCCAGGAGGGCTCTGGCCGAACCAGTTGCATGATCTGCCGAATCAAGCTTGCAAAGCAATAGGACTTGGTCAGCAAGATCTTGTGGCACTAGGGCAGACCGAAGATATTGTGCAAAAATATCAGCTTTCCTGTTCAGGTAGTATTACAATGCATTACATGGATAGTTTACATGAAGCGGTGATTTGATTTCCGAGCATCAAAACCGCATGCGCAGCCATATCTCCGTAGCTGGCTGCGCGCAAAACCACATGTTCTGGATTTTCAATTGCGCGGTGTACGAGGCACAAGCCATGAGTATATGTGAGCTTGCAAGCGGCTTGCGAGGACTCTGATGGCAACACCGCCCTACACTGGATAGCTTTTTTCAAGCCGGCTGCCCCAGATTTGCAGTGGGCGAATTGGATCGAGGGCACAAATGAACCAGCACCGCAAGGCTGGATACTTTGCTCAGCCCAGTGTTGGAAAGACGTGCTCGCCCCGACATCGTCAATGACTCTGGCGAATGTGCAGCATCCTGGCTGCCTGATGGCTTGGATCCTTTCCTTAGACCAGTTCTCGGAGTGCATGCCAACTTGCAAGGTGCACTGGGCCGCCAAGTCTTGCAATGTCGCTGGCTTGGATGCAATGACGCGGGCCAATCGGGCTCTGCTCTCGCTGGTGCGCTCTGCACTTTGCTGTGCCAATCAGCTTGGAACTGCTTGTTTGCCCCGTCCAGTCGGAAGTAGCGCCATGTAGCACCTGAAGAGTCGCTCATCTTCGTCCGAATTGCGCCATTCGCAGGCTAATGGCGGGAAGCTTGAGAACAAACAGCCATCAATCCAGCTGGATGGGATATCAATCAGCTGAGAAGCCACAATCACAAAAAACCAGGGAACCCGACAACTTCACTTCGAGCTCCTCCACGTTTTGTCTGGAGCACCTCCATGCTGGATTGTCAGGAGTCTGGGATATTCTTGGGTTGGGCACTGAAGGGACACTCCTGACACCAGGGGGACTGCAGGTGGGCACTGTAGGGACACTCCAGGATTGAGCACTGAAACAACGTGGTTGGGCTCTGAAGAGGATGGGATCAGGATGCGCAACCGGACGACGAGGAGGACATGCCCTCTTATAACCAGGCGAGCAGAAGAACATTTGTTTAATCTGAAAAGGTCTCAGGGAGGGTGGGCAAGAAGGCAGGAGAAACAAACAAGGAACACATGACGACTGCTGCGAACTTGTCTCTCTTCTCCTTGACATACGGTTGCTATTTCGTAATGTTGATGGAATTTGGTAGATGCAAGTGGATGCTGATGAAGCGGATTGTGATGGCCATTGCTGCCATGACGGTCGCTGTTGTTGTTTTGCTGTTCTTGTTTCGGGGCGTCTCCCGAATTTTTTCCGAATCTTTCCGGCTTTTTGGCTTTTTTGCTTTTAGGTCTTGCGGTGCGGCTATGTGGGCTCTTTGGCTTTTTGGGCTTCAGGGCCTCAACCTCACGATCACTCGCAGCTATGAGTGGGTGTGGAAGCTGCTGGGGAACCCTGTCCTACAGAATTGCATGTTGAAGCTAGTTCTCCTACGAATTCAAAATATTGTGAGGAGCTTCCTACCCGCCTTGCTAGAATACAGCAGACCTAGCCAAATCTGGAATGCCCAAACACAAAGTATCTAAGTCTGCAAGGTTCACATACGGATGCTCCCAAAATGGTTGTTCCGCCTGAATATGATGAGTAAGATGAGGACGTCGATCTCATCCTCCTCAAAGTGGAGGAGGGCTTCCGTCTAGGGTCCCCATCTTTGCTCATCTGGACAACGGAGTCTAGGGGAGGAACCTTAAAACCGGCGCTTGGCCAATTGGACCTTTTTTGATTGGCCCTTCTGGTTTTGTGTAGAAGCGGGCTCTGCTTGGGCCTTCGTGAGCTCAGATTTTGAAACTGGCACCGCTGGTTCTAGTCTTGAAGCCACCGACCCAAAACCGTGTATGTGGGGTTCCATCTTACTTGGAGCAGGGTCCAGGCCCTTAGTCATGAAGCAGGCTCCCCAGAACGTTTTATCTCACACCCCAATGAAGTCAGGGCCCGAACCTAGCATGCAAACTCAACCAATCCTTCTCGAGCTTCCCTGGGGAGAAGTGATGATGAGGTTTAGGATTCTGCCCATCCTCATCCTTCTGCTGCTGCTGCTGCCGCCTGCTATTGACGACGGCTGCTCCATGGTGGCAATGATGATCATGATGATCATGATCGTTATGTTAATGGTATGATGATGACGAGGATGATGACGTTGCTTGCGCGGGCAATCATGGGCGATCCATGAGCATGCTTTTCAATGCTTTCTCTTGAGTTTGACTCATGATCGGAGGTGAACATGTGGCCAGTGCAGTGAGAAAGAACAAGCTGCCACGAAAATGTGATCTTAATACAATCACATGAAGCAGGAGTGGTTTGCTAGCAAAGATAAGCATGTGTCTGTTGTGGGAAGTTCCTCAGCGCTGCGATCCAACTCATTCTCCCTGCTTCATGGGTCAAGAGAAGACGCACTGGACTTTTGTGGAAGACGTGACAGCCACCCCCGAACAGGAAGGCAGCCACAACCAATCAACGAAACCAGACTGCCACGCTGAATAGCCTGCGTTTGGTACTGCCTCTCACGTCAAGTTGCATAGACCAATACATACTTACACTTGCAGTTGCTTGATGTTTGTTGAGCTCCCCCCCCTCCCCCCTTGCAGCACGACAAAGACGGCTACACTGCTTTCATCGTGGCTGCGCAGCAAGACAACTCGCCCATCATGGAGTGTACCTGGCATGTTGCCATTGCATACACAGTGACAGATCTAAAGCGTTGCTCAGACACCGTTGAGCTGTTCCCTCGGGAAAGCACACGTTTGATGATGTGCAGGTGGATGTACTTGAAAGGCGTCAGTACGGAAGAGCAGGTTACAACTTTTCTATTTGCATGTGCATGGGAGCTATGTTGAGGGCATGTTCCGTGTGCAGGATGATGATGCTAGAACTGCCCTCCACTGGGCATGTTACAATGGGAACAAGAAGACACTCTTGCATGCATTGGAGCTACGGCATGAAGCTGCTTCTTGTGGTAGCGCCACCGACACGGAAGGACGGTGCAATGGTTGCTGTCGCGCTCTGCGAGCATTGTCCACCGAGACCGAGAGGTGCCCAGGTTACCATGGCTATTCACCAATTCAGGAAGGGGCAATTGCTTCTGGTGACCAGGGTATGACAGCAATCCACTGGGCAGCAATGAAAGGCCACGAGCAGGTGCCGGAGCATGGGATTTGTTCATTGCAAGCTTCCTGTAGAGAATGGTCAGCGGTGTGTGTTCGCGAACCATCGGTCTCCCCTTCAGTGACCGCAGTAGATGTCGGGTGCAATCTTATCCACAGTTTTTTGTGGCAGCGGTGTGGTAGCCGCCTCCTGGCCGATTTTGCCTGAAGTCTGATGATTTTTGTTCCCTGGACCAGAGCATGTCACAGTTTTTATGGCAGGTTGCAGATATGCTTCTTGAAGTGGGGGCTGTGGAGCTTCTAGACGTACAGGCCTCAATCACATGAGCTGGCTGGTGCAAGGTTGATGTGCAGGATGCACTAACAAGAGAGCTTGGACCAACGAGACATGAACGGCCATTTGGGCCACCAATCGCGACGAGTGAAAGCAGGAATTGGAAGTTTCTGTTGTCACAGCGTGGCCTGTCTTCACCTGTCTACACCTCACTCGGCAGAGTTGCAACATTTTTCAATAGTTTTTCAGGTCCCAGACTGTGCCGGAGTCACTCCAATTGAGTTGGCCATGCGGAAGAAGAACAGGTGGGCTTGCTTGCTGCTTTTTAAGCTGATCAATGATGAGCCTCCTGAGGTACTTGGTAGCTTCCTTCCACAAGTGCCAGATCTTGAACTTTCTGCTGGGTAGGCAAGTCCAGAAAGCAGTTCGACTTCAGTCTGAAAGCTGTACGGCAGAATTGCAGGCCGTACCTGTCCCACAATCAGTTTGCAAATCTTTTTGTGTACTCAGCTTGGATTCTACTGTACTGCCACAAGAGCCTTAGTTGGAGCACTGCCTGAGGTGTTTCATCGCATACAACGTTGTGGTGTTCGCCTTTGTCATAGCACCAGGAACTGTTCGTTTCATGTGTTCGCTCTCAGACTCTCGGGTCCAATGGGCTGATAGATTGCAGAGGAATCGCTGCCAGAAATCCGGACGCGGTCATGATCTGGTCAACGCTAATGGGATTGCCGAGCTCTCGGCGTTTTAGGTGGCCGCCGGCCAGAAATGTACAGTCCAAGCTTCAGGTCACTGCTTCTTTGGGTGCAGGCTCAATGCTATACGGCGTGTTGTGCCACCGCTTGTAGGAGTGGCCACCGCGTGTAGTTGCAGTCATCATTTCTTATTGCCAGTGCTGCTTCTCCGATCCTGGCTGGCTGCAGCCGCGTCCCCAGTCGGACGCTGCAAGGGGGTCCTGCAGTCATCATGTGCTCTCATTTGCATCTCGGCAGGCCACGCACCATAAACTCGCAGCATCACCTGCTTGGCAATGATCCAGCCAGGCCGGCATCCGCACAGCTGCCCGCTCACGAGAGAGTGTTCCTTGTTGTGAGGACTTTCGATGCTGAGCAACCCATCGAGTCGCAAATGGCCGGTGTCTAATTTCAGATAAACTTTCACTATTCAATTGTTGCTTTGACAGGCTCATTGCGATAGTGTTTTGCAGGAGCTGACCTTGACAGGCTTCGGGCTTGTTGTGATGGTGTGGGGGCCAGCGGGTTCTCGTTTGAGGCGACGGTGAGGCGCCTGAGGTCATGAAGCTCGAGCTGGAGCAAAACAAGTGCCCCAAGAGACCAACAGACAACCGCAGTTACGCTTCTGCTGCCGAGACTAGCCCTTTTTATAAGCTGCTGAGAATGTAACCGGGACAAGCCTGGTTTTATGCCTCGGCGCCATGGATGGTGCTCTTTGGTGTGTAGTGGCCGCCGTGGTGGCTGGTGGTGGAGGATCTTGGGGGTGGTGGGGTGAGGGTGGGGTGGTGGTGGGGCGGTGGGGGTGGGTGGGGGTTGGGGGGTTGGGGGTGAAGCTTTGAGAGTTCCTGCCAGT